AAACGGAGTTTTAAAGGAAATCTAGTGCTCGTTGCAAGCAAGGGAAGACGTTTTTTGTTTTTTATTTTTGTTGTCATATGAATTTGATTTATTTTTAATGTTTTCCCCCTTTTTTTTTTTGCCCTTCCACCTCCGACCTTCGTATAGGGTTGAGCACCTTCTCTTTGCACCATACGGATACCAGCTGCAATACGGATACCAGCTGCAACCGTTTAGCCCAATAATATACCACTATTATTGAAGACTCAATACTAGTACTAGAGTAACGCATGAGCCTCCAAATTTTAGGGCTTTATTATCGCTTTCCCATTAAAAAAAATAATATATTTAATTCTAGCAACATGTTAAGTTAGTGATGATTTGTTTAAATAAAAAATTTTATAAATTAAATTTTCTTTATTTTTTATTTAGGATAAATTTGTCCCTAGTATCTAATTTTAGAAGTAAATACAGATATCTTCTTACTTTTTGTATTACTTATATTTATTTTCCCATTTACATTCACATCTTTCCTAATTTCCTAAATAGTCAGCCATATGAATAGTAAATTGTTCCAACCTACCCCTACACTCTTTCTCTTTACTCTTCCGTCTGAATGGTGTTTGTTTTAGTAGTTATCAACTTTTTAGCTCTAGTTAAATAAATTATAATCAATTATCAGTCATTAGTTGTAGTAAAACCACTAATCCAAATAGTTCTTCCACCTTTTGTGTCCCATTGGGATCTGCATGTTTTACTCCATTTTCATATACCCCTTCATGTTAAAAATTATCATAATTTTTTAGATAAAAAGAATTATTATTTTAAAAAATGATGAAAATAAATAACTAAAAATAATTGCCTTTTTCATATAAAAATTATGATAAATCTTATCAATTTTTTGGAAACCAATATTGAGAATTATACCAATGGGAATAAATTGTTAGTATAAAAATAGTATTGGTTAAGCTTTTCTGTTGATATTCAATTTGGTACTCAAAAATACCAAATACCAAGTATAATACTAAATATTGTCCGATTATAATTAAGTATATTTATAAATTTTTCTCTATTATAAAAGTTGTTAAAATTTTCAATAAATTTTAAATAAATATCTAATAGTTTTTTAAAATCTTTGTATGTTTGGAAACATAATTTTCATAGAGTGTATTTGAATTTGAACCTTTCAAATATCACTATTTGTTTTTACAAAATAAATATGCAATTGAACTTATTCTAAATACATGTAATTAAGTTTATGTATTTTATTGTTTTAAATTTGGGTATTTAAAATACCCTCCCAATCCTATGTATTTCAAATTTAGATCTATGTATTTTAACTCTCTCCATTTCCTCAATGAACAAATTGAATTCAAATTCATTATTGTTATATTAATCCAAAGAGTAAATTTGAAAATACATGTATTTAAAACTTCATGTGTTTTAAATATATATATTTAAAATGCATCCCTCAAACACAAATTCAAGTTTCCAAACACATTCTTAATTATTTATTTTTTTTTTGGTACTAATCTTTCAGTTTTCAGTAACCACATTAGGTCTCGACTACTTCAGAATTAAACCGCATTGAATCCCATTAAGGGAAAACCCGCTCAAGGCTTGTGTCATGCCCCAGAACCTAAATCCGAGGGCAAAATAAACGCCATACACTTGTGAGAGTATCCCACATGCACAAGACTCGAAACTTACTAAATTCATAACTAACAAATCACATAAACTCAAATTAATATCTCAAAATAAAATATATATCTCAAAATCTACGTCTAAAATACAAATGGCTAGCGGCCTAACTCCAAAATACTAATGGGTAACCTTTTAGCTCATCACTCTCCTAGATTTCCCACATTTCGGGTCACGCTACCTGAAATGGTGGATGAGGAAAAACTATGTGAGACAACTCAGTAAGTAAAAATATGGATAACCCTCGTTGAAATTTTAAAGCATGCCAAGTAAACATTTTCATTTCAAACAAGAACAAAATCACAGTTATAAATCATTTATGCATACTGAAATCTATTTAGTGGTCCCCTCAATTAGTCATGGTCAGTGTATTCTCTCAACTGGCTAGATAACAGAAATAACAGTATACTCTCCCATTGGTTGAATAGCAGAAAACGCCAATGAACTCTCCCACTGGCTGGATGAATCGGCTTTACAAAAATACATATCGATATGTGCTAGTGTTTAACTTCCGTTGGTAGGATAACAAAATTTATGATCACATTAGAGACAAAACCATGCGGGAGTTAACAATAAAATTCAAAATTCACAATTTTCAAATTTCCAGAACAAAAAAAAAAAAAAAACTCCATGTAAGCATGCTCAGTTTAATAAAAATAATAACTTTTATTTCAAATCAATCATGCTCAAGTGCTAATAAAATCGAGTTAGATCCCGCCACCATATCAAAACAATTTAAAATATACTTTTAAAAGCCTTTACCTTAAAATCCAAAGGTATTTACCATCATTTCTACTTACTTTGCCTTGTAGATATATAACAAGGAATTCAATAAGTCAAGGTATTTGAGGTGATTTAGAACCTAAGCCACATCAAAGAACAAACAAGATTACAAAATACCATATTTAACTAAATTAATTTCTAATTCCAATATCAAGTTTCGTAACTGAAGAAACAACTTCTCCCTACATATCCCGCTCACCTCTACCCTTTTTAAAATAGCTCAAAAAAGACCCTACATATGGCAGATTTACCAAGTAGATTTGATGAACAAAACAAACTAGAAAAAGTGTGAGGAACCGAGTTCAAAACCGTTCTAGACACAACAGAAACTTCGGGCAGCAAGGTGGGGGTTTCTGCTATTTAAAGCAGTCCCAAAATGTTTGGAACAAGCCCTGAACAGTAGGGATTTCTCGGCAAAAAAAGCAACAAAATAGGGTAGAACACAAGTTAGATCTGGGCAAATATGGGTAGCATTTAAGTAGCAAAAAAGGCAGTCAAAATAAACCAATAATAAAAGGTTTTAGAGCAAAACAACAGAAGCTAAAAGTCTACTCAAACTATGATGCAATGTAGCAGAAGATAGAGTGGAAATGAAACAAAAAACAGAACAAATTTCTAGCAAGTTCTAGTCAGATTTCGTGTTTGAATTTCCTACATAATTCATGTGCAGAAATTGACTGATCTAGGTTGAGTGGTCAAAAGATAAATTTTAGCCCTGTGTCTTAGCATTCTATAGCCTCAAGAATCACCTTAATCTGACATCTACAAAGAGAGTTATGGCCAAAAAACCAACACAGGGTCGGGTTGCCAGTTAAGTTCGCTGTGGAATCGGATTTGTAGTAGATTTTCCACCAAGAAAATAACTTAATTGGGTTAAATGCTCAACAAATAAGTTGTAGGGCTATCTCTTAGCTTTCCACAAAATCAAAAATAGACTTAATATGATATCTACAGAAAGAGTTAGAGGCAAAATATTACAAAAAGGTTATGTAATCCAAATTTGCAACAAAAGAGAGATCAGAGCTAATGATGCTAGATTATGAGCAAAATCAAGGGGGAAACTATAGAAACACTCCAAAAATTGAAAACCCTTAATGATTAGAGTTAACCCACTTCAAATCAAGGATTAAAAGATGAGAAATATGGCTGATTTCTTACTGAAAATACTAAAAAGAAGATGACCTCTTACACTGCTCAAAAACGCAACGTGGATTAGAAAAATTGGGGAATATCAACATCTAGATCTAGTTTTGAATCATCATTTTGAGAATCATCAGCTTATCAATCACTAAGGGTCCGTTTGGTATGGCTGGAGCTTTTAATAGAAGCTCTCTTAGAAAGAATCTGTTGTGGAAGGACTGTTTTTGAGAAGTAAAAAGTGTTTGGTAAAATTTTTCATAAAAGTACTTGCAGAGTAAAAAGTTGTTTCGTAAAATTTTTTATAAAAAAGATCTTTTAATTTTAAAATGACTAAATTAGACATTTTCTTTAAAAAAACATTGTTTTTCTTCTTTTTTTTTTGAC